CTTATTACCTATTTCTATTAATTTCCTGTTCATATTTTCTTATTACTATTTCCTATTACCCATTTCCTGTTCACTATTTCTTATTACCTATTTCCTATTACCCATTTCCTGTTCACTATTTCTTATTACCTATTTCCTATTACCTATTTCCTATTACCTATTACCTGTTAATTATTCCCTATATCCTATTACCTATTTCCTATTACCCATTTCTTATTACCTATTTTCTATTTCATATTTATTATTACCTATTTCCTATTACCTATTATCTAGGTTAAAGTAGATAGTCTTACGCCGTCAAGGGCCCTTTATGTAATCAATGAATCATGGTTTACTCCCAAGAGAATTATTCTTAAAGAGTTTACAAGGATTAGGGATGTCGGTGATTGGGTAAGGATAAGGAAGAGGATTGGAAAAGATTGTGAAGGTCTTTCACCATCATCATTACCACCATCATCAACATCGTCATCATCATTACCATCATCATCATTATCGTCATCGTCGTCATCCATTCATCATCATCATCATCGTCATCATCATTACCATCATCATGGTCATCATCGTCATCATCATCATCATCATCATCGTCATCATCGTCATCATCATCATCATCATCATCATCATCATCATCATCATCATCATCATGGTCATCATCGTCATCATCAGCATCAGCATCGTCAACATCATTAGCAGCAGCAGCAGCAGCAGCAGCATTACCATCATCATCATCATTACCATTGTCATCAAGATTTTCATCGTCATCATCACCATTCATCATCACGATCACCACCACTACCACCCTCATCATCATCAATGTTATCACAATCACCATCTTCATCGCTTTATCTCTGTCTCGTCGTTATTATCAGTATTAATATTTTTATTGTAATGTTTATGGATATATTTTTTTGTTGTAGCAATGATCACAATACCATTACCATTTTTCCAGTAATTACTGCTTTCCCTGATTTGCCATTTTATTCCGGTAAAGATGATAATTAAAAAACAAACAATGATTAGAAATATGCTTTTATTCCATAATTCACGAATGATGGATTCTGAAAATACCATAATAGTAACACAATTACGGTAAGAAATCTATGTATTTTCAGCAAAAGAAAAATTTGAAACAGTTAGCTACATGAATCTCCAGAATATCTTCAGTAAAAAGGAGTATAAGTATTGAGTTTTTCACTCTCTATCTATCTATTTGTTATCTACTTATCAGTATCTCTCACTCACTCTCTATCTATCTATCTGTTTATCTACTTATCAGTATCTCTCACTCTCTATCTATCTATCTATCTAGCTAGCTAGCTAGCTAGCTATCTATCTATATCCATCTATCAATCTATCTATCTCCCTCTCCCTCTTTCTCATCTTCTCTCTCCTCTCTTCTCTTCTCTCTCTCTCTCTCTCTCTCTCTCTCTCTCTCTCTCTCTTCTCTCTCTCTCTCTCTCCTCTCTCTCTCTCTCTCTCTCTCTCTCTCTCTCTCTCTATCTCTCTATCTATCTATCTATCTATCTATCTATCCTCTATCTCTTCTCTCTCTCTCTCTCCCTCCCTTTCCCTCTCTCCCTCCCTCTCTCCCTCTCCCTCCCTCCTCCTCTCCTCTCCCCCCCTCCCCCTCCCCTCTCCCTCTCCTTCTCCCTTCCCTTCCTCACCTCTCCTCCCTCCTCCCCTCCCCCTCCTCCCTCCCCTCCCTCCCCCTCCCCCTCCCCTCCCCTCCCCTCCCCCTCTCCTCCTCCTCTCCCTCTTCCTCTCCTTCTCCTCTCTCTCTCCCTCTCCCTCCCCTCCTCCTCCCTCCTCCTCCCCCTCTCCCTCTCCCTCTCTCAAGCTCATTGTCACACAACACACGCATTATGTTCAGCGCTCAAGAACCTTGCTAAATATTTACTAACGTTCTCTCCACTTCCTCCTTCCTCCTCACTCTCTCACTTCCTTCCTCTATTTGCAATGTTTATTTTTTTTTATTCTCGTTCACACCCTTTTTACTCTACCTTTTTTTCTATATTTCATATCTGTCTCCAACTATTTTTTCTTTCTCTCTTCCTCCAACTATATTCATACACAGATAACTATATATAACTGT